TTACACACACTCACACTCTCACGCACAGTCACACACACTCGCGCACTCTCACACTCACGCACACACACTGACAGAGGGCTGCCCTACCCCTCGCTGCGGGGCCACAGCAGGTTGGGCCCCAGCACGATGGCGATGTTGCTGGGGGTCATCTTGTTGACCTCCTGGTGCTCGGCCAGCTTGGCCAGGAACTTCACCAGGTACCTGGACACACGGACAGCAGACAGCATGCAGGAGAGGGGACAGGGGAGAGGGGGGAGGATGAGACCTGGTTTCACAGCTTACGGGTCAGAACAATATCGGGACTGAGCCCTGAGAAGGAGGCACTGACCGCAGGTTGTTGTAGTTCTCGGGGGGCAGTCTGCCACACACCTCTCTGAGCCTGTCGAGCCTGACAGAAACGTTCTTCTCCCTGCAGCAGGAGGACAGGGATACGACAACGGGATACGTCAATGCTAAATAGCGCTGACAGTCGTACAGGGCTAGAGAACACACCTGCCCAAAGAGAGCTCAGACGCTGATTTGTGTAAATGTAGACAACGAAAGCAGGGTCAGGTGGTGCTGCTTCCCAGTGTCTCAAAAATAGAAGAGCTTACTAATATCCCAGAATTCTTAGCAACAACTTCTTGCTAATACAAACACCACAGGGGAGTCAAAAGTTAATCAACCACTAAAAAGGCACTGAACCCAAGTGCGGGCTGATCTCTAAGGTTACAGGTGCCGAAGCTCCAGTAGAGGGCGGTATCTGGCTTACCCAGCTGCCTCGAACCAATCACTGTAGAGTTCAAAGGTCATCAGAGGCTGCGGCAGCTCCCTCAGGTAGGACTTCAGAGCACCTGTCAGAGACACAGCAGTACAGACACACGTCTTTACCCCTCTCCCTCGTCAAAATGAGAGGGGAAAACATTTTCACACACAAGAGTTTCATTCAGTTTCATCTGGTTCTGGGGCTCCAATCGGAAAGACTGAAGCTCCAAGGCACTGCCCTTGAGGTTTGTCTCAAAGTCTCAGTGCTCTGAACGAGGCAAGAAAACACTCTTTCCCCAACCTCTCTGCCTTCTTCCAAATCTCTCTCCTCTCTCCTCCCTCTGTCACCTCCCACCTCTCCCTGCCCTGTACATTCTCAGTCTCCCTCCCCTTCTCACCCCCCCCATCATACCTGCCACTGCGTGGGGGTCAGTGCAGAACTCGCTGTGGTCAGCATTCCCACTGTCCAGACTGGACTTCAGCTTCTTCACCACTGAGGCTGCTGCCGCCAACCGGAACAGACCCTGGACATCGCCGACACACGGACAACACATCGCCGACAGACAGGAGCACAGAGACAGACAGACAGCACAGAGAC